CCCTAGCCAGGCTGTTAAGTCTAACATCCTGGGAATATAAATGCTCCCTATTCAACTTTATATTTGGAACTCTACCATGACCCCCTTTCCCCACTGTGAAGCACTGTCAATATTTAGGCCCTGCATATTCTCCCAGCCCCCGCTGGTAGTGTCAGCTAAGTTCTGCAGTTTTGGGGTGGGGTATATTCCTCTCCCTGCCTTATTAGATCTATAGGTCTCTGATTGGGTTGATTTAACCCTTTTTGTTAGCTGGGTTTCTGAGAGGGGAGTGGTGATAGATCCTGAGGAATGCAGGTGTTGTCTTGAGAGAGAGATTGTTTCACTGTCTTTAAGCAAAACAGGGGGCACACGAGTCCTCCTTAGAGTAGAGGGGGGACACTTCTGTAGCCTCACAAACTTCAGGAAACCAGAAGATTCAAGATTTTCATGTTTAGGGCTGTGGTTGTAGCTCAGTGGTAGAGCACTTGCCTCACAAGTGTAAGGCACTGAGATACTGGGTTCAATCCTCAGCACCACAAACAAATAAAACAAAGGTATTTAAAAAAAAGATTTTCAGGTCATCAACTTAGATGGTTCCTCCTGTGTCAAAGTTCCATTTTTATCAAGCAGGGCCCTTACCTTACCATATCAGACCTGCTGAAGTTGGGTTTTACCTTCTTGGTACTTCTACTAGTTTCACAATTTAGCACTGGGTCTGGTCCCAGCTTTCTCTCCACTGGCTTCAAGAGCTGAGATTCTCATTATATGCTACCATGGAGGTTTTCACACTTGCTCCTACCTGCCCATAAATCACTTTTGTTCATCTTTTTCCAGAGTATCAGGTAAGCTTAACAGCAGTCCATTGGTTTCACTGTCCTTTGCTACCAGTTCTCTCTGGATTTCTCAACCACCTGTGTAAACCAGTACATGCCCTTCTGCTGGCATGCCATCCCAGTTCACTACTGGTGAAGGTTTTAACTGCACTGTCATAGTATACTAGGGGTTATGTGTTCTATCTACCACCAGTCAGGGGGTCTCATCCTGTAAATCAGAAGACAGAACCGGGTATAAAATTCCAAGGAAGAATCCTTCCCTCCCTTCCTTCTTTCATATTTTGGATTGGAAGATTTGTTTATTTGCCTTTATTAGTTTTACTTTCAACTTTTTTTGTTTTTCTTTTTCGATATACATGACAGTAGAGTGTATTTTGACACATTATACATACATGGAGTACAACATTCTAATTAGGATACTATTCTTGTAAAACCATACATGATATGGAGTCTCACTGGTCCTATATTCATAAGTGAACATAGGAAAATTTGTGTCTGATTCATTCTACTGTCTTTCCTATTCCTATCCCCTTTCCTTTCCCTTTATTCCCCTTTGTCTAATACAATGAACTTCTATTCTTTCCTCCCCTGCCCCTTATTGTATATTAACATCCATATATCAGAAAGGACATTTGGCCTTTGTTTTTTTGGGACTGGTTTATTTCACTTAGCATGATAGTCTCCAGTTCCATCCATTTACTGGCAAATGTCATAATTTCATTCTTCCTTATGGTGAGTAATATTACATTATGTATATATACCACATTTTCTTATCAGTTCATCTGTTGAAGGGCACGTAGATTGGTTCCATAGCTTAGCTATTGTGAATTGAGCTGCTCTAAACATTGAGGTGGCTATGTCACTGTAATATACTGATTTTAAGTCCTTTGGGTATATATTAACGAGTGAGATAACTGAGTCAAATGGTGGTTCCATTCCAAGTTTTCTGAAGAATCTCTGTACTGCTTTCCAGAGTGGTTGTACAAATTTGCAGCCTCATGGGCAATGTATGAGTGTACCTGTTCCCCATCATCCTCACGAACATTTATTGTTACTTGTATTCTTGATAATTGTCATTCTGACTGAAGTGAGATGGAATCTCAGTGTGGTTTTAATTTGCATTTTTCTAACTCCTAGAGATGTTGAACACTTTTCATATATTTATTGACTGATTGTATATGTTCTTCTGTGAAGTGCCTGTTCAGTTCCTTTGCCCACTTATTAACTGGGTTATTTGGGGGCTTTTTTTTTTTTTTTTGGTGTTAAGTTTTTTGAGTTCTTTGTATATCCTGGAGATTAATGCTCTGAAGTGCAGGTGGCAAAGATTTTCTCCCATTCTTTAGGCTGTTTATGTTCTTGATAGTTTCCTTTGTTGTGAAGATGCTTTTTAGTTTGATACCATCCCATTTGTTGATTCTTGATTTTGCTTCTTGCGCTCTCAGTCTTGTTGAGGAATTCTGTTCCTAAGCCAACATGATGGAGAGTTGGGCCTCCATTTTCTTCTAATAAGCATATGATCTCTGGTCTAATGCCTAGGTCCTTGATCCAGATTTTTTTCCCCTAACTTTTTATTAGCATGCCTTTGTTTATTTTTGTGTGGTGCTAATGATTGAACCAGTGCCTCATGTGTGCCAGGCAAGCACTCTGACACTGAGCTATAGCCCCAGGCCCCACAGAGTTTTGTGCAGGGTGAGACATAGGGATTAAATTTCATTCTACTACATATGGATTTCCAGTTTTCCCAGCACCATTTGGTGAAGAGGCTATCTTTTCTCCAATGTATATTTATGGCACCTTTGTCTAATATGTGATAACTGTATATATGTGGATTTGTCTCTGTCTTCTGTTCCATTGGTCTTCATGTCTGTTTTGGGCCAAGACCATGCTGTTTTTGTTACTATAGTTCTGTAGTATAATTTAAAGTCTGGTATTTTGTTACAATAGCTCTGCAGTATAATTTCAGGCCTCTTACTTCACATAAAAATCTGCTTTCTTGCAGAACTTCTGGTTGCAAGTTTTGTTGTCTGAGAAGCCAACTTTGAGATGGATGTTAGTGCACAGATTAGTGATTGCCACCTGTGCAGAGAAAGGAAGCTCCATTGGGCAGAGGGAGAACATAGGCAAGGTTGCAATCTTAAAGGCAGTCTCAGCTGACCTTATTGGAAACTCTGAAGCCAGGATGGGCTTTTGGATTGTCCAAATATGGGGCCATGGGATTAGTCTTCAAAGGCAGGCTGCCCCAGAAATGAGAGTGCCTTCATGAGGTGGCTCTCTCCAGTTAAGGAAATTATAAAGAGATTTGGCAATTGAGGTCTGTTAGCAGCACTCCCACAAGCAAGGGAACTAAATTTTCTAGCATGGAGAATCTGAATGGCATATTGCAGTACGCCCTGTGAGCAGGGGAGTGGATGCAAGGTAGGTAAACGCTGTATCTCTAAATACTGTGATAGTGTCGGGCACATTGGTGCTTAATAAGTAATATTAGTATTAAAAACATATTGGGGGCTGGGGATGTGGCTCACCTGGCATGCGCAGGGCGCTGGGTTCGATCCTCAGCACCACATAAAATTAAAAAAAAAAAAAAGATGTTGTGTCCACCAAAAACTGAAAAATAAATATTAATTCTCTCTTAAAAACAAACATATTGGGTTATTGCTGTTTATTTATTACTAATTCACTGGTTTCTCACTGACTGGAGGCCTAGCATAGGTGAGAACTAATGCTATAAGCATGACAGTAGCAGAATTACCTGTTTAGCCTCTTCAGGAAACTCATTTAAGAGGTACAACCTGCCAGTCACAGTGACACAATGCCTGTAATCCTAGCAGCTTGGGAAGCTTAGGCAGGAGTAGCATGAGTTCAAACCCAGCCTCAGCAACTTTGTGAGATCCTGTCTCTAAATAAAAACTTAAGGGTGGGGATGTGGTTTGGTTGTTAAGAGCCCCTGGGTTCAATCCCTGGTAGCAAAAAAAAAAAAAAAAAAAAAAAAGAGGCACAACCAATTAAAGAGACCTAAAAGAGGAGTTAACAAAAAGGTATTTTAAAGAATACCTAATGGTCCTAGAAAGTCTAGTTGCCCTGACAGAGAGGACATTTGAATAGTATCTAAGAACATGTTTTCTCTGCACAGAGAAGCAAAGAAATAAAGGCAGCAGGAAGAGCTTGGCTTCTGGGCACTCACTTTATCAATATATTTGAACTGTGGACAATAAAATTAAATTATTCTTTCCCACACTTGGGCCTCATCCAAGAATCTTCTTCCATTGCCTTATGAAATCTTCACCCAGTTTATCCTCTTCAAAGTTAATATTTCACTACACAGAACATACTGTTATTTCTAGACAGAGATTCCAGAGCATTCACAAAAACCCAAGATTAGTCCAATCTTAAAAACCACAAGATCCTGTTTATGCCTAAACTTTGCCAACAGTCTTTAACTCATTCCTTAACCTCACCAAAAAGAAGTCATTTTGGAAGTCATTTTCAGTAGGCATTTCAACAACATTTCCATGATGTAATTGATATATATGTACCTTGTAATGTGAAACTATGTTGAGTGCTCTTTAGAACTTCAAATAAGTTACATGTACTAGTTTTCTTTTGTAATGTAGTTTCATTATTCTTAAAGGGTTCCAATCAGGTATGATTCTTTTCCAAAATCCTGCTCTATCTTATCTATTGTTAGATTAACACTTGAGATAGTCAAAACTTCCTGTCATCATTCATAGCTTGCTTTCTCTATCTACATGGCTCTCCTGAGCTCTGGACACAGGGCCAAAAGACTTCCTTCTCATTTACAAAGCTTGAACTAGCTGGCACTGACAGATGAGACTTGAGGTGTCACAGATGGTATATGAAAATACGGAGGGTAAAATCAAAATTTGTGAGACTTACCTTCTATTAATCACTCATTGTTTTGTTTCAAATATTCTTATAGTGGAATTGAATGAACTGGAAAGGTTCTGGGGTTGTCTGGTAATGCCATTAATGATTTTTCAACTACTACTTCATCTAAGAATGGTTATGTCAAGGCAAAATACAATGTTGGATATGCTTACAGAAAATAAGGAAGTGATTTATCACATATATATTTTGCTTAGGCTACAGGTTCTTTTACCTTTGACTTTTTGAGTTATATAAATAACAAACTATCCATATTAAAATATTATTTATAAGACTGGGCCAAAGTCAAGTCAGTAGCTCTTTAATAAAATGAGCAGAACCTCATTATAACAACAGCTCTTTATTACATGGTTTCAAATACACAGGAGACCAATCATGTTCCCTGAAATTTAACAATCACATTCAGTAAAAGTCTGTTAATGCCATCTCTCAACATCTAAACCTAAAAGGGCTTCCTTCAAATTCCCGTTACGAAGCCTTGCGCAAAAAAAAAAAAAAAAAAAAAAAAAAAGAAGTTGTTTAAGCACCAGTAAGACTGTTGCTAGCAGTAGTTTTATTTCTTTTTCTTCTTCTTCATCATCATTATCAAACATGCAGTTTCTTCCTCCCATTTGCCTGGCCCTGCTCTGGTTCGTGGTACAAAGTTTATAAAAACAATATACCAATACAAAGTTGAAGCCATTAAAAAGAGCTTAGTAATAACTACCAGGAGATAATTAAATCTGGAGTGTTGATGGAATCCGAAGAGATGTGGAAACAACACACAAACTCAAACAATACAGTAGAAGTTTTACTGGGGAAGGAGTGACGGAAACTTTTTATGTGCTACTGAAGGACTTTCTAAGATGCCCTAAGTTTACTTTCTTTCTGCTATTATCTTTAAATACTGCAAAGCATTGTGGGCAGCATCACTCTGTGCATTGCCACAGGAGATGCCGGAGCCATGACAGACTGTGATAGGACTGGTTGACAGTTCGGCGAGACACTGATACTGCCCATTTGCACTCAGTTCTTCTGTAATGACACAAGCAAACATGATGATTAGTGCCAACTGTAGAAAGCAGATCCTTTATAAAAACAATCTTTTTTTTTGGTCTTTCTCACCCATGGTACACTATTTCATTCATTCATCATTTCTGTCATGCTTGTATAAACAAAAAACATAGAATGAGTCAGGTGCAATGGTACATGCCTGTAATCCCTGCAACTCAGGAGGCTGAGGCAGGAGGATCACAAGTTCAAGGCCAGGTTGGGGAACTCAAAATTAAATAAAAAAGGCTGGGGATGTAGCTCAGTGGGAGAGCACTTGGGTTTAATCCCCAGCTTCACAACAGAAATGGTTGTTCAGTCATAGCAGTTCTCAAACATACTGCTTCAAACCATCTGACAGAACTTCAAAGAAACACAGGTGTTTAGGACTCAATGCTAGCCCATTCTATCAGAAGCATGGGGTTGGGGCTGGAGGTGGCTGGCTCCTGCATTTCAAGGAAGCTCCCAAGCAACTCTAATGTGACTATTTGAACGAGGCTTGGAAAGCACTGTACTAATAAGCAACTTTCTTAAGAGGGAAAGAACCATTTGCTAGAGGACTAGAGAGGCTCTTTCCCATTGGAAGTCATTTTCAGTAGGCATTTCAACAAGAAAAGACCTGGTTCAGGGAAAGACCTCTCTTGTGCCTTCCTATTTTTAGGGTTTAAGTCTGTGCAATCTCAGTTATGGTGTTTTAAAAACAACACTTAAACCCAGGAAATGCACATTCTTCTCATTCTTCTGAAGATGGTAAAATGAGGCAAGAGTTCTTAAGAAGTAAATTTATGACTTATTCATTCAAAGTGGTCATGATTAAATGTTTCTATTTTAGCTAGTCAATTTAGTGAAGAATATCCAGATAAAGTGAGATTATTTAGTGAGTGAAGAGACATTTTTTTTTTTAGTTCTACCATCTTTTTAAATTTAAGGAAAATTCACATAAAACCAATCATTTTAAAATAAACAATTTAGTGGCACTCAGCAGATTTATAGTGAGGTCCAAGTAGTCCCTCTAGCCAGTTTCAAAACATCTTCATCACCCCAAGAGGATATCCTGAACTCCTTAAACTGTTACTTTCCATTCCCTCTTCCCCAATCCTGGCAACCAACCATCTGTGTTTAATGTCTATGGATTACCCTTCTGTGGGCAGTTAATATAAACAGAATCATAGAATATGTGCAGCCTTTTGTTTCTGGCTTCTTTCACTCAGCATGTTTTTCACTATCTTCTATGTTGTAGCACATATTAGAACTTTATTCCCTTTTACAGCTGAATAATATTCTATTGAATGGATATTCCACATTTGTTCATCCATTCATTTGTTGGTGGACATTTGGACCATTGCCACTTTTGGCTCTTGCAAATAGTGCTTCTGGGAATATGTGTGTACTGGTTATTTGTTTGAATACCAGTTTTCAATTCTTGTAGGTTATATACCTAGGTGTGAAACTGCTGGCAATTAATTTAAGGAACTAAGACATTTTCCCATGGTGGCTAAATTATTTTACATTCCATCAACAATGTATGAGATTCCAATCTCTTCATCATCAGACACTTGCTATTTTCCATTGTTTTGACTATATAGTGTGCAGTGGTACCACACTGTAGTTTTGACTTGCAATTCCCAGTTGAGTAATGATGTTGAACATCTTTTCATAGGTTTGTTGGTCATTTATCTATTTTCTTTGAAGATAGCTGCCTAAAAGTTAGCCAAAAGCTTGTATATATATATACACACACACACACACACACACCTTTTTTAATGTAGTGCTGAGGATCAAACCCAGCACCTCACATGTGCTAGGCGAGTGCTCTACAGCTGAGCCACAACCCCAGCCCCTTGTTCTACATTTATAAGAATGATTTAGTTCTTAAAATTCATAAGAGTTTCAAAGGAATTAATTCACGATCCAAAATATCCATCTCAAATTTCCTTATTTTCAGAGATTCTGTATCTTCCATAGTTAACTCTATTCGTGACATAGCTCATTTATCTCTGTATCCCAAACTCTCAACAAACTACAAACATCAATAAATATTTGCTAAATGAGTGGATTCCCATCAGCCATCTCTCCTGACCATCTTTCTTCATTAATTTTCCCAGTTCTGCATCATTCTTGGCTTATCAAGACACTGCATGACTCATCATTTAATTCCAAAGTAGCAGAGAATATCAGAAGTTCTCTCATCCCCTGACCACTCTAATTTTCCAGTGCTAGTATCTCTGACAGCTGAGTTCCCACATCTCACTGAGAGTGGAGTAGGGATATCAAATTCTTCACTTGTTATGCTGATATTAAATCAAGATACCAAATGTGTGACATATACATACACACAACTAGCTTTACAAATTGAATTAAAATAAACTCTACACTGACTTGCTTTCTCATTTGTCCATATTTGTCTATATAAAAGACCACAAATTAAGGAAAATATAATAGATGATAGCTGGGATGGAATAAAGTTACAAATTGACTTTTTCCCATTTACTGCCGAGAAATGGCACTCAGTGATTAAGTGGACACATGGTTTGGCCCACACAGACTTGATACTTGTACTACAAATGGGAGTGCTTTTTAATTGCCAAATGCCCAACAGACCTAGTATAACAGCCAGTGAATATGCTGGAACTCTTTCCCTAATTTTCTTTTCTTTTAATCTTTTATTTTTTTGGTATGAGGGACTGAACCCAGGAGCACTTAACCACTGAGCCACATCCCCAGCCCATTTTATTTTTCATTATAAGACAAGAGTCTTACTAAGTTGCTTATGGCTTACTAAGTTGCTGAGGCTGGCTCTGAATTTGTGATCCTCCTGCCTCAGCCTTCTGAGTCAATGGGATTACAGGTATGCACCATCATGTCTGACCCTCTTCCCCTAATCTTGTTCTACCACTGGCTAGTTATGTGGTCTTGGGTCAGTTTCTCAACCTTTCTCTGCCTTACTTTCTTCACTCATAAGTAAGAATAATAGAATTCACTTCAGAGTTAGTTTCAGGATTCATTAATTGATACATGTCCTTACTACAGGGCTGGCACACAGTTAAACTATAACTTTCAGCTATTGACATTTATTATTGAAACTGTATGTTAGCTATTATTACTATCCACAAGAATCAAGACATCTCAATTATATATAATACTGGTCTGGCAATTATATATAGTTAGAATCCTTGATCCTATAATTAGAAATAACAAATTATAACAGAAATTTTTGTTTTTCAAACACATTTTAAAAAGAAATGCATCTTGGGATAAGCCAAAGAAAAAAATCATACCTATATCCAAATACGTTATGTTAAAACCTTGTTCCTTGGCAATTTCACTAAGCAGCTGGATGTAATCTGTATTAGGAATACTAAGGAGGCTTCTTTTCAGTAAGTTGATCTTTTCACCAGGAGAATTCCTCAAGGAATGCCAAGTGCATCCTAAAGAATTTCCTACTACATTAGTCTGAAAAATAGAGATGAAGATTTGTAGTCTTAAAGACTGTCTTTTAACACCAGTATCAGTATACTTACAAGCACTCACATTTAATACTTCAGAAAGCATATTTAAATTGGTACTATGTGGTTATCTTTCTAATTTAAACTAGACAATGCTAACATGCACATCCGTTTAACAAATACCATGAAATGAAAAATAAAAAACAACACTAATAAATAAAATACATTGTTAAGTATTTAAAAATACTTTTGTTTGTCAATATTGGAGTTGGAAGTTGTTGAGACCTTTAATGAATTATTTTTCTAATTCTCTTTTGACCAAGATGGTGCTGCCTTTTATCTAAGAGGCAACTTTGGAGACATAGAGGGGGCCCCTGGCCCATCAGGGAAACAAAAACCACACAATTTTTTTTTTTTTTTTGTATGTAGAGCAAAGGTTTCTCTTCCTCCTTGAAGGTTTTCTGAAACCACAGTCTAGATCAGATACCTTCTTCCATGTTCCCAGACTGCCCTCTGTAAGGACTCATCTGTAATATTCTTCCCTGTTTAGGAGGCTATAAACTCCTTAGTGGTAGAAATTGTTCATTCACTGTAGCCCAGTACTGGGCACAGACCTTAGCATACAGTAGGAGCACACTAAATGATTGTTGAGTGGATAAGTGAATGGACCAACAAAAAATGGAAAAGTGCTGTTGCTTTGAAGGCAAAAATAGCACCACTGGACTATCACTTTATTCATTCATTCTTCAGTAATTTTTGGTATTGAGAATCAAATCCAGAGCTTCACAAATGCTATGCATGCACTCTACCACAGAGGTACAACCCCAGCTGGGGCTGTCATGTTTAGATCCCATCCTATTATTCTGAATTGACTGTGTCTCTCAAGTCCTCTTACCTGGTTACCTCATGTGACTCTGGCTCACATATAGAAAGCAGCTAAAATTGGCATGGTGTGCAAATGAAAGATGAAAAGATTTTTTTTTTTTTTAATTGCAACAATGAAGTATCAATCCAACAAGAAATTAAGGAAATATTCCTAAAGCAAGAAAAGCTTAATCAAATTAACATCATAACTGTCTGCTTAATACTCACTAGAGAAATGTGGTTCTCTGGAGAAATATTACTAAATTTGGCAAGAAATTTTTCAGCAGCATTTCTCTTGGCTTGTTTCTTCGATGCCCCCTTTCCTATAAAAAGAAAAAAAGATGGTAGATTTAGAAAGGAAATCAGTGTCCACAGAGGATGATTGAATGTGTAAGGGATTATGTTTTTCATCTTCTAGGGTATTTTCTTACTCACTTGACATTTTGTTTATTGTTTTTGTTGGTTGTAAAACACACACACACACACACACACACACACACACACGTTAATATATATACTTATTCCCCCTCTTTTTTTCAGTGCTGGGGATTATACTCAGGACCTCATGCATGCTAGGCAAGTGCTCTAATACTGAGCTACACCTCGAGCCCTCAAATGACTATTAATTCTTTACATTTTTGAAGGTAGTTCTTTTCTTTAACAGTTTTTCTTTAATAATTATACTTTCTGTTTTTCTTTAATAATTATTCTTCCCTTTGCCTAACTTTAATGAACAGTATTTGGTTTAATTGTGACCAATTTATTTACCAAAATATATTTGAATATGATCCCTCTCTCAATGTCCATTATCTATTTACAATCTTCTATACTAACAAATATAGAATTTCCTTAACATGAATAAGAAGGGAATAAAAAATGATGGAATTGAAAGAAAGATACCTTAAATAGCTACTTTCATATTCTGCTTTGTAAATTAAAAATCTGAAGTAATTTGCTTCACTTTTGAAAATAAAGGATTACGTCAGGAACCCAAAGGAGAGGCACTGCTTCTGGCCTAGTGGTTTCTGCAGTGGCCACATCACCTCTCAAGGCAGACAGTGCCTGTTACTTGAAACTAATATCTAGCTAAGGTAAAAGTCTACTTTCGGTCATTTTGAAAATAACAAAAACATGCCAGAGTAATAAAGAAGAATTCTCACTAGTACTTAATTAAGTGGCTGCTATTCCTCACAGTTTATGTCTTTTACAACTTAGAAGTTACTATAATTCCAAAAGACAATTTCTATTTATTTTTTATCTTATTGCATTTTTTGGGCCATCTATTTTCTTATTAATCACCTCTTTTTCAAATGTAATCTTCTCTAGTCCTACTTTCTAGAATATCTGTTGAAACTTTAAGAGATTTACTACTGTTCTTCCTCCCAGATGAATTATTTAAATCACTAATACATAGATGAAGATTATTTAAGGTATGGAGCCAATAATACATCTTTCCATTAACAACTTATGATTTTTTTAGAAACATCAAATTAAGAAACATGAGTATTCTTCTTCCTTTTTTTATTGGAGGAACTGGGGATTGAACCCAGGGCTACTTTACCCCTGAGTTACCCCTTCAGCCCTCTGTAGTTTTTGGAACAGAGCCTCACTAGTTGCTGAGGATGGCCTTGAACCCTCATTTCTCCTGCCTTCTGAGTTGCTGGGATTACAGATGTGCAAGACCAAATATTTATATTTAAGTTCTACCTTAGAAAGTTAGAGATAGTAGTATAGGAGTTTATCAATTTTTCTCCCCACAGACATTTTTGGGAAGATATAACAACAAAGATTTCTATGGTCATTCATCATCTGAAAATATTACAAATGTCTTAAATGGTAAGAAACAAGTACCAGTTTCCATAAATGACTCTAGCCTGCAAATTGTGGTATATTCTCTCTTATGAGCAGGTCCTCCTTCCTGGGAAAGAGTATATTCAGGAAGTCTCCAGCCATGATGAATAGCCAATTCCTATAAAATTGAAATAAAGCTTTAATAGTAAATTAATAGAAAATTCAACTGTGCAATGGCTTAATCACACAAATTTTATTTCTTCTTGATTTCAATCTCATTTCTAGTCATATATTTGAAAAGAAGGAAAGACCCTATATGTCCCATAAACATTCCCATCTTTTACATCTTTATATTACAATACTAAAATGGAAGCAGTTTTGTCCTATGAATGGCATTCTTCTTTCAAGCAATAGTGAGCTGATATCAGAGAAAGACCGGCCACCAGTGACCTCTTTGGGAACATCAGAGGAGACACCCACAGGTCTCCCTGCCCTCAGTTCCTAAAGCCTCTCCCCTCCTACCTACGGGGTTCTGGACCTGCAGCATTTGGTCAGGGGCTCACGAGGAGCAGAGACAGCAAACAAACTGGGATGAGGCTACATGTGAAGAAAACAATAGAAAAACTTATAGAGCAGAAAAAAGAGACCAAAGGATTGGTTAGGTAATGGAGAGGAAAATAGTCCTAACAGAGCACATGGATAATCTGCAAAAAGAATATTCTGTTTGCAGAAATTTAAAGATAAACATATGTGTGTGCATGTGTGTGTGTAAATATAATTTTGTTAGAATAATCAAATAAATTAATTACATTTCTTTTCTTATACAGCCTTAGAAATACAAGTAATTTGTCTGACCCTCACCTAACCTCTTCCAATTCAGATTGTAAACTCCTTGATGGTAGGGTGCATCTTGAGTTAGGTTACCCAATTTTGGCTCTTTATAAAGTCTTCTGTCTCAAGAGAAGTAGAAAGAGGTTTGTCACAAAGATGGGAAGAAATGTTCTTAAAGTATAATATTCTCTACCCATGTGCAATGAGGTCCTGTTATTTCAAATGAGAATTTCACAAACCAAAGGCAGATACTGCATATGGAAGAAAATCCACAACTTAAATAAACGGGAAAATAATTCTAAGTTAGCTGCATAAAATAAGTTGGAAAACAAAATATTTCACCATCATGAAAATATAAAATGGCTTATCTTGAGCACTGTAATACCACCAATTAATTTTATCTTTTATCAGTAGACAAAAAGGTAAGTATGGAAAAAATATACAACTTACCTGTAATGAACCAATAGGATTAAGCTGGTTCTTTGGTTGTTTGGAAGGGTCAGGCATTAAGGGGTCAGGAACTGCAAAGCTAAACATATTTTTGAATGTTATTCAATAAAATAATTTCCCCAAATTACTTACTAAAAAAGAAAAAATTTTCTACTTAAGTGAAGCTCTTGCATTATATCTACATGTGATGCCCTTCTTTTCAACAATTTCTATAGAAATCTGAACTCTGTATCTATCTGTACATATCAAATGTCACTTCCTCTAAGAAACCTAGCCTTTTACCCAATGGATCATACTCTCTCACTCCTTTGAACCATTATAACATTTGGTTTGACATTTTATTCTTTATTTTATTTTTTTAAGTACTGAGGATCAAACCTAGGGACATTCTACCAATGGGATACACTCTTTTCTCTCTTTTTGAGATGGGTCTTACTAAGTTGTATGGGCTGGCCTTAAACAAGACTGTCTGCCTCAGCGTCTCAAGTCACTGGAATTACAGGTGTCACCACTATGCCAAGCTTGGTTTGACTCTTTCTTAAGAAAACTGACCTAAATTATACAGCCTTAGAAATACAAGTAATTTGTCTGACCCTCACCAAACCTCTCCCAATTCAGATTGTAAACTCCTTGATGGTAGGGTGCATTATTTACTTACATAAGCTTCATAGTGCTTTATACATAATAGGTGCTTGATAAAAATATATTCAAAGTACACTATTATGACTACACAAGATATAATAAGAGTATTAGCCAGGAAATTTAGCCTGGCACTATGGATAACACAGATCATCAATATAACTGTGGAAGAGAGACCTATTATTCCATCATGTGCTCAGTGCTAAGATAATCCTGTTAAGAGTTCTATGTATCCTGCATAAAATCGATGGTCTACATAAATCTGGTTTAACAATGTAGGGATTATGATTAAGGAAAAAGAACAATCTTTTCTAGGCAGTTTGCAATTACTAGTTACTCAGAAGATCAATGCCTAATGCAGAAGAAGCTGCATTCCAAGGTTACTTCCACCTAAGCAATAGAAGAATAATTTCTTCCATGACAAGTGAGGTTTAACTATTGCACTTCCTCAAGTTTCTTTACCAAATGCCAGAATTTCAAGCTTTACATAGGCTGATTAGATATAAGTATTCACTTACAATGCTGCATGCCGAAGCTACCCAAATAATTGTGATGGAGAAGTGAAAAAGTCTCTGTATTAAATCAGGCCATTTTAGGCCTGATTACAGCTTAGTAATTCCCATTTTATCTGTCAAGAAGCACAAATATATAGTAAAGTTTGTTAGCCTTTTTTGCTGACAAAGTGAAGTTCCTATATGCAGAAAGGACACTCCGTACACTCATTTCTACCAATGTGCTCAACATGTTGGGTTGACCTTTGGGCTGCACAGAAATAGCACAGCCATCATCAGTGGAGGCAGAACTCAAAATCTGCTATGCCATTTGGCATGTCTTGAAAGCTAGCATAAATCAATTGTAAGGTATGACCCCAGAGAAGCAAGTATCACCTTGTGAGATCCAAGGCTTGTCTGGGTTAAGTGCTTGTCTAGAGGGTTGCTATGTCACTGGTTAGTTCTAAATTACCCAAAAAGTTTAGAATGACTTAGGAAAAGGGAAGAGTATTGCATGAGAACCTAAATACAGACTTAATCCTAAAGACTTGTTACGGCTTTAGGAAAAACAATCTGATTTCAAGTTCCACAGATCTTTGCAGTTAGTTATGAGCAGATTATACCAGACTAAACTCTAAGCATCTTCTTTATTTTTGGGTACTGGGGACTGAACCCAGGGACAAATTGAAACTATACTTTCAGAATTCTTTAAATAATTATTGAATATTATCCATTTACCAAAAAGTCACAAGAACCTATTTAGATTGCTGACATATAGAACTATTATCACTGGGTAGCAAATTGAGTGGACAAAGTTATTACCCAGAAGAACTATTTACTGTTGCCCAAATCATTTTTATGTACTAAACATCTGTGTATATTTTGCAATTTGAGACAATTTATGTCAAAGACCAGATGTTTCTGTTTTAACCTGAGTTTTATAATTCAGAGGAAGAACACACATGTAGAATCAGGGGCTAAAATCAGAAAGAAATGTAAATCAATGAAAGATTACTAGTAATTAGTATAGTAACTTCTTTATTTTTTTATATTTTGGTACCAGGGTTTAAATCTAGGGGTGCTTAACCATTGAGCCATATCCCCAGCCCTTTTTATTTTGAAACAGGGTCTTACTAAGTTTCTTAGGGCCTCTCTAAGTTGCTGAGGCTAGCCTTGAACTTGCAATCCTCTTGCCTCAACCACCCAAGTTGCTGGGATTATAGGCGTGAGCCACCACATCCAGCTTCCACTTCTAGCATTTTTGAGTTCATGTGTAAAAAGAATTTAAGGCATACTATGTTCCATGGTGTGCCTAACAGAAACCAAATGATAATATTTTATTATACATGAGATGCTTTAAGATTCACCTAAAACAGAAAAAAAAAAAAAATTCAATTTGGAAAAACATGGCAAGGATATCCCAGTTCACATTCTCTCGTATTTGGTATACAGTCTATAATAAAAGGAAATCTCTACCTCCTTCTTTCCAATGAGAATTCCCTAAGGAATATTTTTATTTCCATCTCACACCTTGTTTTCTTCAGTGTAGAAATAATCAAAGTCTTAATACAGAATATTAACAGTTGCCAGAGATATTATGGTTTCCGACTGCTGCACGCCATCTAAAAAACAACAAAGTAAAGCCTAATTCATGAGAGGCTGCAGTTAATTGGTAACTGCTGGGCTTAATTGGATAGAACTATCTTCATGGGTGATAGGTTTTCACAAAGAAATAGAATTTTAGAGCTCAGATACTGTTCACTGTGCTGCTTTGGGGAGCATGTTCACATTTTTAATCTTACCTCAGCCATGATCATTTTGAGCTGCAGAATACAAAGAAATTTAGCTCACCAAATACTTGCATTGGCTTTCAGAATGTGGATGGCCGCCTCTGCAGCTCGGTGTTTCGCCAGCTTCTTACTTGTACCTTCACCTGAATTAAAATGTAAAAAGATAGTCTTTGTGAAAATGTGTGCCTTACAGAGATGTTGTCATACTACAAAACAAAGTCACTACACGTTTTTCATATATGCAGTTAGTACTGAAAACATACACTACATGCAATTATACACTGAAATAAACTATTCACTGTGTGAAACTGATACAGGAACAAAATCACAATCTAAAAAGTTCTATGTATTTAAATCTATGCATCCCTATGTAAAAAACTTTACTCTTTCTATATTATATATTTATTACACAAATGGTAATGATGTAGACCATGTCACACCTCCAGAAGAAACACAACTTAGCATTTCACTCTTCCCTTATTCCTGGGCAGGAAGTTCTTCTGAAGCAAGAAATTTCCTTTACAGAAGAAACTTTCAGAACTTTTGGACAGTGAAATGTGCACAATAGCCTGGTCCTATTCTGGATCAAACCCCTATGCTAGGCTAAGCAGTAATAGGTGTCAGCTTATGCCTTATGTCTTCCACACAATCTGTATCTTTTGCCTTGTAGATAAGGGAGGTTAGGGATAAGACTGATATTTGAATTCAGCAAGCAGCTGCATCTGGTAAAGAGTGAATTCAATAATTTTTTTCCTTCTGAGTTCAAACCCTCAATGTTAGGAAATAAGATTGAAGTGTGACCCTCTAATGTCAGAGGACACAAAAACCATACTCTTTTATCTAATAACATAGACATTAGGGACACAGCACAGAACTGAAGAGATTCCCTGACTTCTATGGCTGACAGCCTAGTGTGGGATTTTGTCTGCTAATAGGTATCTGAAACATGTTACACCAAGCCTAAGTGTGAGCTCTAGGAAAGCGCACAAAAGTAGCAGTACCACTGTTCTTGTTAGGGCTTCAGAACAGTTTTATGGAGAAAGAGAACTAAACACACACTTGAAAGATGAGGAAAGTCTAGTAAAGGAGAGAGAACTAGGAGATTAGGAAGAGCATTCTTGGTAGAGGAAAGGCACCTGCAAAGGCTCAAAGGCAAAAGAAAGCAGTGTTATCAAGGCCATAAGTGTTGCATATGGCTAATGTGTAAGAGCTCAAGGGGAGCAATTTTGAGATAAAAGGCTGGAGAACTTGGGGGCTGGGGAATGAGTTTTATATGTATATCCATACACACACACACACACACACACACACAGATATTATATATACTTGTGCTATTCAAACCTTAACATGTATAAAAATTGACAAGGAATTTTGTTAAAACATACTCTGACCCCATACATCTGGGATGTGCCTTATATTCTGCATTTCCATCAAGTACCCAAATGATATCAATCCTTCTGTTGACTACATCTCAAGAAGGTAAGAAGTCACGTTAAAATTTTTGTATTTATCCAGAGGGTGATGGGGAAACCACTCAATGGATGTTAAGAGAAGGAGGACAAATTTGAGTACTAGGAAAAGAACATTCGTAGAGAATGGGCATTACACAGGAAGAAGATAAAATAGGGACTAGGTTTGTGGCTCAGTGATGGAATGCTTGTCTAGCACATGTGAGCACTGGGTTCACTCCTCAGTACTACATAAAAGTAAATAAAACAAAGCTAAAAAAATCTATCAAAAAATTTAAAAAGAAAAAAAGAGCAGTTATAACACAGAAGCTATAATCCAAAAAAAGAGATGGTCTGGATGGTAGCAATAGGAAGAAGAGAGAAAGAGACTTAATAGCTATTTAGTAGAGAGATTTTAATAACAAACTGGACAAGAGAGGAGAGGAACAAAAGATATCAAGAATACCAACCCTGGGGCTGGGGCTGTAGCTCAGTGGTAGAATGCTTGCCTTGCAGATGTGAGGCCCTGGGTTTGATCCTCAGCACCACATAAAAATCCTGAATTTCTACTGAGCGACTGTGTGACTATGGTGCCTTTACAGAGAAAATGAATGCAAAAAAATGGGTTTAAGGGGAAAGATGGATTCAGTTTGAGACAATGAGTCTGAGAGGCCTTTGTATCATCCAAACAAAGTTGCCCGACAAGCACACAAGTTGATACACTGTTCTGCAAATGGGACCGGAAGAAAGATATTTCTGAATTATTAGCCTTTATCTGGTATTTGAAGCCATGGAGGCAGATTAGCTAGCACAGGAAGACAGGGTAGTGGGAGAAGAGGTCCAAGGGATAATAACAGAAACAGGTGTTTTGTTTTGTTTTAATATTTTTCAGTTGTCGATGGACACAATATCTTTATTTTATTTAATTTTTTAATGTGATGCTGAGGATTGAACCTAGTGCCTCACACAGGCCAGGCAAGCAAGTGCTCTTCCACTGAGCCACAAATCCAGCCCTAGAAACAAGTAATCATTCCCTGGCCTAAAGCATGTTGGGGTGGGAGGGACTACTTCTTTTTAAACTTCCACTGGATATTTAAAAATAGAACAACTTAAATAATAATAATGCAATGTTGACACTATGGCTTATATGAGGAACATTGCAGTCACACTTCTTATCCACCTGTCTCACATAGAAAAAAAAAGCTTCATATTTTTGTTAAAGTAGCTTCAATGAAAATAGAGGAGTCCAAATTTCCAGGGACACATACAAATGATGCCTTCAGATTATCAAATGATATAATTTCAGTCTTCCTATTAATACTTTTCTTGGCATTTTTCCAAATTAAATTTAGTATTACTTTTTTGTTTGCAATTAAATAGGTATATGAGAAAAATAATGTTCACATTTACAAATGGGCATGCATCTGAATTCTGAAACTTCACTGCTGTGTGACTCGGAGCATGTTATTTATGATCTCTCTGAACCTGTTTCTTCATGTATAAAAAGGAGATACTATCTTATACAAAATACTTGTACAGTTTCAGGAACTAGAAGCTACTAAGTAATACAGTGAATGGGAGTCTTTCTACATTCCTCATTGTTTTGCCTTTTTTTTTTTTTTGTGGACATAATTAAGAGTGATACAAGAGATCCAAAGTTCCAAATAATTCTATAAAGACAGAAGGGAAACTCAGACAACTCCGGGGTCATGCCTCCCTGTATCTGCTATAATTTATAAAACTATGAAACTTGATAGTACCTACTGACCCAGCTATGAGGGCTCCAAGAACCCTTCCGGTTTCTTTTTAATTCTTGGAGGAACCTTGGGAGGATCCTATAGTATGTGAAGAGCCTTGTAGGATGCCTGGATAACTTTTTATTATCTGAGCATCCTTGTATCTGGAGAAGAGAAAATTAGAATCAGATGAAGTTGAAAAGCTCTTACAACCTAATATATGAGGTCTCCATTTTAAAACCTGCCCCTCATAGCTGTCTCTGGCAAAAGGGGCACTTTTCCCAATTGAAAAGCAACATCAAGTCTGGACTGCCAACCAGCAGGGTCAAGGGGTTAACTGTGCATACAGACCTGTGCAGGTTATGTCCCCAACGGTTACTCTGAAGGTGAAAGTTGGCACGTGTATCTGCACATCGGATCTTTCACATTCATAAACCGGGATGTTCTTGGTCTTCATGCCATATTCGTGTAATACCTGAATCGGTGTTTTCCCTGGCTTAGCTGTTATCATCTTCCCCAAACTGCAAAAACCAGAAAAAGGTGTGTCAAAGCAAACAGGGAAGCAGAAGCATACACAGGGCCAATTTTGACTGCTATCAATGGTGACCGGGGAATTACTGTAGCTTCCTGGCTGCCAGGACCAGAGCTGGCAAGGCCTGTGCGCACCTGTCTCCCAGCTCTGCTGCGGCAGTCACCCAGCAGGGGCTAGCAGGGTGAAGGAGGGACGTCTTTATAGACAGAATTCGAATGCGGACAGAAAGGTGTTCTCAGGCGCACACGGCTGCATACTCTCAAGACCAAGTCCACCAACCCGGTCCGCGCGTGGCACCTTTTGCCACCCCGTCCCCCCTGCGCGCCGCCACGAGCCACAAAAGGGGCGGGGCGCGGCCACAGACCCCGGCGGCCGGGCCATAGACCCCTGCCAGTCGCCGCCAAGAGGGCGGGGCAGAGCACCACAGTGTGTGTGTGTGGGGGGGGGGGCGACAGGAAGGGGCTCTACCCAGAATGCCGCCGGGGCCGGCTCCCCGCCCCCTCCTCTGCTGCCCACCACTCTCGGCCCTGCGGCCCCTACTGCCCGGGCTCGAACCTGAAGGTCCCGCTGTCCTCGCGCTCCAGTGGCGGGGCCTCCGCGCGACGTCTGCTTTGAGACATGGCGAGAAGGGACGGCTAGGCAGCGCGAGAAAGAGCAGTGCGGAACGGCGTCCTCGCTTCCCGCGTCGGTCGGTCCCCGAGCGGAGCTCTCCAGCACTACAGTCTCCAGGTCTCCTTGCTGCAGGCGTCCCTCTTGCGAAAGGAACTGGCGGGGCGGGGTGGGGGGAGGAAGGGCGGGGACTCGGCGTTACGGCGCCGGCCACACCCCCTCGCTGCCGGACCTCAGGCCCCGCTACTAGCCAGGCCCCGCCCCTCTCCCGGCTCCATCTCTTCCCAGCGCCGGCTCTTCCCAGCTTGGCCTGCACCCCCTTCGGCTCACGAGACTTCACGGTGCTGGCCCCTCCCCTCTCCAGTCCCCGCCCCTCCTCTCTCCAGGCCCCGCCCCCTCTGTCATACCTCAGCTTTTCCCAGTTCCCGCCTGCGCTCCACTTAAGCTCCCGGGGCACCCTGGTCGGTCATTTGCTTGCCACTGTCACCGCGCCTGGAGCTTGAGTTTGGGGGCCTTAGGAGGTGGTTTGCCACCCGGAAAGAATGCTTATTCCTGTGGGCTCAGGGTTAGCGAGGCCAGAAGTCCGGTGTATTTGGCGGGTGGGGAGGACAATCTGGGGACAGGTTCACTTTAAGAAAGATTTGAAAATGTTAATGCAAAATTGCTAGGGAACCTCTCAGAACCTGGCGATGAAACTTGAGACCCTTGATTTATGGGCTCCTGAGAGCTGAGCAGGCTTTTCCAGCCTCTGCGTCCTCTGGGGCTTCTGGAGACCCTTCTCTCCTGCTGGGCGGGCTCCTTTGTCTTGGAGGCAAGTTGGACAGCGGGTCAGCAGAGCCCGGCAAGGCTTGTTAGGTGTAAAGGAAGGCCTTTCTGTAGGCCAGGTTCCAGTTTTGTTGGTTGTAATGGCGTTGGTGGATGCGCTACCTTTTGTGGGGATCAAACTGCGACATTACTTGTGTCGTCTCTCTAAATGTTTGCTTTCCACGTGCAGAAATGGCTCCCTGTGCTTACAAGGTGTTCTGGAAGATGGTTTTGCACAATAATGTTTTCACAATGGACATTATTATTTAAAAAAATTTTTTTTGTAGTTGTAGATGGACAACGTGCCTTTTATTTCTTTATGTGGTGCTAAGGGTTGAATCTAGTGCCTCTGGAAGATGATTTTGCACAATACTGTTTTCACAAAGGACATTATTATTTTAAAATGTTTTCCCCTAGTTTTAGATGAACAGCACGCCTTTATTTCTTTATGTAATTCTAAGGAACTACCCAGTGCCTCACACATGCTAGGCAAGTGCTTTGCCACTGAGCTACCGCCCCAGCCCCCAGAAAGGACGTTACTAAAAGTACATTTTGGGTTGCATGTGACCCCTGAACACTTGAAAGCAAGTTAAAAAAAAAATACCAAGAATCTAATCAAATTAATTTCCATTATTTGAGGCTTGAATTAAGCCTAGTCCCTCTTCCTCTACACCACATATGTGTGTATGTATATCAACTAATACCCAGATGTATTAAGTTTAAGTGAACATCTTTAAGGACCACAGAAACATTGTTTGAATGTTCATTAAAACGTTAGTACAGATTTGCTTTGGAAATGTATTTTTAGCTAAAAAATTTCTTAGAAACAAGTGAAAACCTTTTATAGATCTCTTTACAGATTGAGTAGGATAATAATGACGAAATAAAAACAAAATAAGTGCAACAGGACTCCATTTCAGGTTATATAGACTGAGTGCCTAGCTTCTGAATAAGAAAACATTGCATAATATTTTATAGTTTTCTAAATGTGTAAAATGGCTTTAATTTAGTATTTTGTAAAGATCTGCAGGCATTTGTTTCCCTGTATTCTGTGTATTTATATTTAATATTAGGCACTTGGTTTTGTGAACATACAGATGGGAAAATGTTCCTGCATTAACTCTATACCATAAAGTTTCAAAAACACCACTGTTCTGTGGCCAAAATTTGCCTGGTGAACTTGTGAAGGAATTCCCTTTGGACTAGGTCCATTATAGATAGTATCCAGGACTAATGTTAGTGCCTAAATTGCAGCGTTTCCCATGGGGCTATCTGCTTCCCTCAGAATTGGCCCATTGCTACTAGAAAATCACTATCAACTATGATTCCCATCAAGGATGTCAGTGGTATGTTGGAATTAGTTTTCTGTGTATATTTTAGTGCTATAAATTGCCATTCCAAATTAGGCTTGCTTTTAGTATATCATTTTACACCGTTGATCTATTATTTATTACCTGAGCACATGAAGACAGGCAATGTTGGGAGGTGTACACGGGTAAACTACTTGGTGAAAGCATGCTTTGTATTTTTAACATGTATAATTGTATTAAGATCAAGCAAGCTTAGTTTTGTGCCTGGTTTTCTTGTTTGAAAATGGATTTGTTACCTGGGAGTTGCAGTTGATGACATTTTGATATTAATATGTTTGCTGCTGCTACAAAGAGCTTTGTCAAGCAAGTTGGAGATGGAGGGAGATTAGTTCCAGTTCCAAGCCTCAGTGAAGCTGACAAATACCAGCCTCTCAGTCTGGTGGTAAAAAAGAAGCGATGCTTTCTGTTTCCTAGATATAAATTTACCTCAACACCTTTTACACTGAAAGATATTCTCCTAGGAGACAGAGAAATTTCAGCTGGTAAGTTTAAATGTTTGGGAGTGAGTACTCATGGAACTGTTATTAGTAACCTAAACAGAGGTCCTATGTACTATTTATACTAGTAATACATATTTTCAATGAAAAAAAAGCAACTTTTATTATGAAAGTAATGATATTATTGAGATGAACAATGCCTAAAGTTTATATAATATCAAATCTCTTATTGAATACTTTTAAAGTCTATTAATTATTTTATAAGTTGTTTTAATCAAAATCAACTTAGAAAACGACATAGTATTTTTTCCTCTATAAATTAGTGTATTATTTGATCTTATCTCCAGATAAAAATAATTTGAATTTTGTTTACAATTCAGTTATTACACCTGGTAAACTGAAATGTGTTTTTAAAGCTTGATTAAATGTGTTTTTAAAGCTTGATTAAAAAGTCAATTGACATTTTGATAAGTTACTGCTTCTAAACACCTGTTTTTATTTCAATAACCTAGTACATCTTGATATTTAAGAAATTTTGTTGGCTGAACAGATAATTTGATTTCATTTGAAATATTTTGGCTATTTGTTTTTTGTTATTGTAAAATTGAACTGCTATTTTAATTTTGGCCTGAAATGTTGCTTCTTTTAAAATTACCATTTGGGAGATTGGATCTTGAATTGCAAATTAACCTGTTACTTTATATAATCTATATAAGCTGAACTGGAGGCATTTAAAAATACTAGTCCCTTTTCATAAAGGTATTTCATCTTATCAATTACTGAATTATGAAGATGAATCAGATGTTTCACTTTATGGAAGGCGAGGCAACCATATTGTAAATGACGTTGGGATTAATGTTACTGGATCAGATTCCATTGCAGTAAAAGCTTCATTTGGTGTAGTAACCAAACATGAAGTGGAAGTATCAACATTACTCAAAGAAATTACTACACGGTCAGTATAATAATCCAAATGCATGTCAGTGTTTTAATTAAAAGTTTTAATATATATAAACTTCATTGTAAAGAATGCTTAATTTTACTAATGTAATTTATTTGTGTGATTTTTTTTTTTTAAATATTACAAATGTAGTAGTATTGTTGCGGGAAACAGACGGGTTGAGGAGCAGCAAGCAGCACTCAGGAGAGGAGAACTCCAAACATTATTTTATGCTGGTGGGCCCAGAGGGGAACAAACTCTAATTCTGAGCACTCATCCACAGTTTCTCACAATTTTTATAGGTTATTTGGCATCATTTTAGACTCATCCTATCATTGGGGGCTTTTTTCCTCTTTAAGAAAAAAACTCCTAATCTACAGGGCTGAAGGCCTTGTGTAAACATGCTTATAGAAACAGATAAGGATAAAGGGCTCTTTTCACAGGCATGTGTTAAATCTCTAGCCTTAAAAGCATAGCACAGGGATGTTTATATTTCAAGAGGGAGAAGTTAAACTCCTAGGGCAGTTATTTACAGTAATCCAAAAGGTTAACCCATTGGTTAATTAGGCTTCCTAAAGAGTGGCTGAGGGGAACTTTCCCCAAGCATTGGTTTCTTACCCAAACCTTTTTTTTTGGTAATTTCTGTTTACAACCAGGTCTGGTTTTGCCATCACAGTATACCAAACTTTGGGTCAGGGTAGATACCCAAGAATCATTTGGTTTGAAGAAGATTTTCTAGTGTTCCACAAAATCACTAAGCCCCTACACAAATTGGCTAAATTATTAAACTAAAAAAAAAAAAAGACTCTTTGTCTGCAACAAATGTAGAGAGCCCCCTCCAACAGACTCAATAGAGAGAATAGAACTCCACATGAGCCTGTTTTAAGAAATTAGAAGGAAGAGCCAGGGTGTTCACATTCTTTTGGGTGTCTTTTCTGGTTTATATTAGGTCTGCCTTTTTTACATTTCGTTAAGATGGACTATGAATGAGTAACACATGATAGGAAAAAAATGTGCCGGATTATATATAATTTGATGTTGAAGAATCTTATGACTGTCTTCTTTTTATTTTAGGAAAATTAACTTCGATCACAGCTTGATACGTCAGTCACGGAGCAGCAGAAAGGCTGTGCTTTGCGTGGTCATGGAAAGCATTCGAACCACACGACAGTGCTCCCTGTCTGTTCATGCTGGCATTCGAGGAGAAGCCATGCGGGTAAGACAGAAGCATTAGGCTTTGCTTACTAGCTACAGAGTTGCTGTGGGAAGTTTTAAAAAAGCACTCAGTTAGAATGAAACTTAGATATTACATCAAATGTTGAGATGAAAGAGCTGCAGTGGTTTAGGATTTTGCACAGTAATGACTGTGTTTAAGAACATGAAAAAAAATCCAAGAAAACATAGATTCTAAACATATGTAATATGATGCAGGTAAAGCACTAATTCTTGTTGAATATTTGCATGCCAGCATTTCTGTCGTTGCTATTTAAGTTCTACTTTAAGAAAACAAACTAAGTGCTGAAGTTGCATTATTTTATTTTTGAGGTACTGAGATTTAACCCAGGGACTCACACATCCTAGGCAAGTGCTTTATTGCTTAGCTATACCACCTGCTCATTTTATTTTTTATTTTGAGATGGAGTCTTGCTAAATTTCCAAGGCAGGCCCAGACTTGGGCTCCTCCTGCCTCAGCCTCCTGAGTAGCTGGGATTTATAGATGTGTGCTGTCATGCCTGGCCTGATTTTACTTTTAAGTTATATAGTTCATACTTGGAATTTTTAAACATTGAATTTATATTCTATATTAAAATAGTTTTTCTAAATGAATATCATCAATGGTCAAAGCATGCTTCATTCAATTTTAAATCCTTTAAAAAATTAGAAAATTATGTGGGTTTAAATTTTTTAAAAATGTTTTTAGTTGTCAATGTACCTTTATTTTATTTATTTATATGTGGTGCTGAGAATTGAACCTAGTGTCTCACACTGGCTAAGCAAGCACTCTACCACTGAGCCACAACCCTGGCCCACGTGGGTTTAAATTTGATCTCAGTTATGATATTCTTTATCTTTGTCATGTAGTGACACCTAATAATGCCTTGATAGGATTAAAGCCAATTGTTAGAAAGGTAAGAGTTAAATGATAATCATTTTTAAAGTCTTTTACTAATAAAGGTCTGTTCAGTATGACATTCAGCTGTCCACTGAATTCTGATTAACATTGGATGATTTGAGGGGCACAGACTGAAGCATTATTGGAATATGGGTAACGCTTTTGGAAAGTTGCAGAAAAACTCTGGAGGATTTGAAACAGTAGACAGATTAGGCCAAAAATACCTCAACACAGTTATTTCGTAAGAGTTGAAGTTTTAAGAAAAAAAAACTTCTATTGCAGAGAGCATTACTCTTGGGTTGGCCCTAATCATTGGCTTCAGTACCAAAGTAAGCAAAATAGTCTAGAAGTCTTCCCTGATTCAGATTACCAGTTCCTGCTGGATCACTTGGATCTCTGCAATGACAGTCTAATTCAAGCAGGGTAATTCTTTACTTGAAGAGGTTTTGTTTTTTGTTTTAGTAGTATTGTAAAAGATGATTTGCTTCTCAAAAAAATCTATCCTGACGAGTCAGCATCCTTAATAATGTTATTTTATTTTTTATTTATTTAATATAGTTTCATTTTATGGATGAACAGAATCCCAAGGGAAGGGACAAAGCTATTGTTTTTCCAGCACATACAACCATAGCTTTCAGTGTTTTTGAACTCTTCATTTACTTGGATGGTGCCTTTGGTGAGTGGAGAATCTGCTTCAAACAGTGACTTTTTTTTTTTTTTTTTTAGGAGAATTTAGTAGGAAAAGCCTCTCTCTCCCTTTCCCTCCCCCACCTCCTTTCTCTGATAATCATAGAAAAGTGATGCCTGCTTTCTGCACTGTGAGTCATAGGGAGATAATCAGCGACCTTCTGATAGGTAGTTTTTGATAGTGGTAAATAGGAGTAGTAAAAAGAGGCCTGTAGTGTCAGGGCACCATACTTCAGTTTTACCTATATTAGATACAACTGCCCCTGTACTCCCCTAAAACATAACTAGAAGTATAGATACTTCCTTCAGAATTGTCCTCTTGTGTGATAGCTCTGTGTACCTATCACACTGTCGCTGCTGTCTACATTTCACAGGTCTTTAAGCTTGGTTGGCCGCCAGCCAGCCGAAGTCTAGGTATATATAGCCCAAAAGACCAGGAAGGGAGCCCCCTAGCCATGATAATTTATAAACATTTTTAGATCTGTTTTGTTCTTTTTCTACAATTCTGTGGGAGGAGAGAATAGGAAGCCTAGAAACAAAACTACGTTCTGAGTAAATTCTATTTGGAACCTACTAAGTGTAGATTTTTACAGTTATATTGATGTATGGGAAGAAGATAGAGTGGTATCCATCTAATTCTTAAATGAAAGTATGTTTGTCCTTGCACTTCCAGGAATTTATCCTACAGGTGTACTTACACACATGTGAAATAGTTTGGGTATAAGGATAGTCTGTTCCTAATAACAAAAGATTGAAAACAACCTTAAGGGAACATCCATAAATCAGGATACTAGGAAGCCATTAAGGGCGAGGTCTCTATAGACTCTGACATGGAATAATCTCTAAGACATATTTTATTGAATTTTAAATTTTTTTTTTGGTACTGGAAATTTAACCCAGGGTGCTTTACCACTGAGCTACATCCCTAGCCCTGTTTGTATTTTATTTTGAGATGGCTTAGGGCCTTTCTAAGTTGCTGAGGCTGGCCTCAAACTTGTGATCCTCCTGTCTCAGCCTCCTGAACTGCTGGGATCGCCGGCATGTACCACTGAGCCCAATATCTAAGACATATTTTAAAGAAATGTATCTAATGTGTAACTATTTGGTCCTAAAGAATTATACACACACAAACACACACACACATACATACATAGATATTCTTTTATGTAAACTATAAGGAGTATTTCTGGAAGCATACACAGACACTTAACATTGCCTCTAAGGTGGAAGACTGGCTGGGTGCGGTTGGGCTAGAGACTTAATCCTGCATACCCTTTTTATGTGATTTGAATTTTGTACCATATAAATGAATTTTTTCCAAAAATGTATGAATTTAGCTTTAAAAAAATGGAATGAATTACTAGATTCATTGCCCTATAAAACACCCCATAGCATATGAGTTGTTCAAGTTATAACATCTTCTCAAAATTGTTTTGTAGACCTTTGTGTCACTTCAGTGTCAAAAGGAGGATTTGAAAGGGAAGAAACAGCAACGTTTGCACTGCTCTACAGACTGAGAAATATACTATTTGAAAGAAGTATGTCTCTTGAAGAGTATTTCAAATGAATTTTTTCCTTCCTGGATTAATATCCAATAATGCCATGTATTAAGGAAAGATTTCAATGTAAAAGCCAAATCGTTTCATGACTGATAGTTTAGAGTCATATATTTATAAATGCAGTTTGGGCTGTTTGTTTTCTGTTTTAACTTCTAATACATTTCTGTGTTTGTCCTTTTAGATAGAAGAGTGATGGATGCCATTTCTCGTTCACAGCTTTACTTGGATGATCTTTTTTCTGACTACTATGACAAACCTCTCAGCATGACTGATGTTTCACTCAAGGAAGGGACTCATATCCGAGTTAACTTACTTAATCACAACATTCCTAAAGGGCCTTGCATACTCTGTGGAATGGGGAACTTAAAAAGGGAGACGGTCTATGGTTGCTTTCAGTGTTCTGTAGATGGACAGAAGTATGTGAGACTTCACGCAGTCCCTTGTTTTGATATTTGGCACAAGAGAATGAAATAAAAAGAAAAAAAACAGAATATGCCTCATTGGTGTCTTAAGTGCAATTGTGCCATAAGCCTTCTCTAGTTTGCTTTGATGGCAAGTTAAACCAAGAGAAGAGCTGGAAAACCTGTGTGGATGTCATTTTCCTAACACATAAAGTGGAGATGTGGCACAACTTTTTTCTTCATAACTTGTCATGATTAATAACATTGTGTATGTAAAAAAGTTCAAACCTAAATTCAGAAGATAGTCATTCCTTCATAATTTTGCCAGTTAATTTAGAATCATTTTTGGGATTTAGTCTATGATAATATTTTATATAATTAAGAGATTTTTCTAAATATCAGTTTTATTTTCAGTCAAATTTTAATTCAACATTTAAGGATGACAAGAATGCACCAGTGGCTACTTTATGGTCCTTTAATGCTCTAGGTCTGGTAAAAGGAGAAAAATGTGTTAATAATTTAATATAATTCTAAATGTTTAATTGCAGTATCAAATTAAAAACACTGAGCTCGGCATGGGGTTTTGTGTACTTGGTTAACAGCTTGACGGAAAGTAGTAATAGGTTGCCATTCTGTGACGTACATATGCTAATTTTGTCTTCATAAAACTTGCTTAATTTTTTTTGGCTTCATAAACTCCTTTTAATCTTTTTTTAAAATCTTTTGTGGTTCTTGGGATTAAACCACTGAACTAAGCCTATTTTTTTATTTTGAGAAAGGTTTTCCCTAAATTGTCCAGGCTGGCCTTCAACTTGTGATCCTTCTCCCTTAGCCTCCTAAGTAGCTAGCATTACAGGTCTGTGGCACAATCCCTGGTTTCTATTGTCATTTTAAAAGTTAAGGCAAATAGAACATGTCTGTTTCTTCTTTGAAAATGTTTCAGACATTTAATCTGTTTAGTTCTGAAAGGTCTTTTTTTTGTTGTTGTTGTTGATTGCTTAGTCTGGCCTCATGGGCTCAAGATGATCCTCTTGCCTTAGCCTCCCGAGAGCTGGGATTACAGGCACATGCCACCATTCCTGGTTTACTTCCCTTTTCTGAGGGAAATAAAATGATGAAAGAGTTATAATTAAGCAAGCCAAAAAGTGTTAGAAAATTGAGTATAGAAGCAAAAACATACCAGAAAGAAAGAAGATAGTAAAGTATCTACGCATACATGATATTAATGTGGTGGTTTCTGTATTACCCCTGGACTTTTAAATAGAATCTCTGGCATTGTATCTAATTAAGTTAAAAGGTAAGCAATGGTTTAGAAAGAGCAAATTTCAGAAAATAGAAAAAGCTTCAAACTCACTTATTTTGAGCAGAGCTATGCACTGCCTGACCATACTTCTCCATATATGTATGTTATGTAGTATGCAAAATTTTACATGGTTTAATAAATATATGCCCTTTCTTTGGCACAGTGATCTTTTACAGCATCTCTTACATATTACTCTCAACAAGGTAGATGTTCTAAGTCAACTTTTTCATCACAGTGACCAAAAGAGCTGATGGGAAAAATTTTAGAGGAAGGAAAAGTTATTTGGTGCTTGTGATTTCAGAGGTCTTAGTCCATACACAGCCAGCTCCATTGATCTGGGCTTGAGGTAAGGCAGAACCTTCATGGCAGAAGAGGAAAGCAGCTCAGGACGTGGCTACCAGGAAGCAGAGCTCTGCTCACTAGTGACAAAAACCCAAAAGGCATACCCTGAGTGACCCACATCTTTCATCCACATTCAATCTATTTAAAGTTACCACCCACTTAATCCTTATCAGCAGGTTACCCCACTGATTAAGTTATCGCTCTTATAATTTCATCATTTCACATCTGAAAATTCTCAAATTGTTTCAAGCATGAGATTTTGGGAGACACTTCATATTTAAAACATATAGTAGACCACCATTCATGATTTGACCATGACACAAAATTGACCCAGCTCTGTATATCCTCATTTGGAGTAAAAATAGAAGTTTTCCAGTTATCAAAATTTGACAGCATGCCAGTTCATAATCATCAATCACGTTAATGATGAGAATGTTGTAAAATGAAATGACATGAGAAAAGTTCTAGAGAAAGGATACTGGTAACTAAGAAACTCCATGGCATCCATTGAAAACTATGAAGACAAAAAGTTAGGGGTGGTAGATATAAAAGTCCACAAGAGGGAAGACAGTAGCACATTTACTAAGAAGTATTGACTTTATGCCTTTTGTAAGAGGCAAAAAGTCTTTATTATGGTCAAATATCTACCTCTTAGCATTCCCAACTGGAACAAACATGCAAGGCTAGAAGCTTTCACCAAAAAAGTTCTTTGTGGGACAGAGATACACAACTAAAATCTTCCTTCACGCATGCCAAGGACCACAATTCTTTCAATAATGTTATGAAATACATAAAAAGATGATATACTAGTTCCTGAGTCCCTACTTCATATTTTAAAAATATGAAACATTTTAATATCTAAAATATTGAACCTTTACATATTTATACATATTGTTCAGGTTAGGTTACAGTTGGGAAGAGCTTGCAGATTTTGACATGTGTTCTCTTATACTTTGGACGGGAAAATATTGCCCACTCAGTTACAGGTCCATTTCATGGCATTGCAATTTGTGTTCACAGAATAAAGCAATAGGAAACACAATCATACCTTTCCTAAGAGATAAATTTGCAAAACAGCATCACATTTATTAAACAAAATTACATGTATTGAAGGGAACAAAATATCTCACAGGAGAAAAATAGAAACACAACCTGGAGAAAAATGACCGTATAATGTATTAAAGTACAGTAAGTAGCTAAAAAATGTAGAAATAAAAATATGCTATAGTTCATCATGCTGGTATACATTGTATTCTTTGGGAGAAATGAAGCCATCACCATCATGGTCATTCTTCTTAAAAATATCTTCTAAAACTGCATTCTGATATGACTTGTCACGTGGCTTCTCATCTTTTTCAAATTCTTTTTTCAAGTAATGATTTATCTAGAGACCCAAAATAAGATTTCTTTAATAAAAAGATATAACCAGTTTCTTTCTCAAACCAGTAACTTTGAGGAGTATATAACAATAACGAAACTCATATCCAAGACTATTTATATTAAAAAGTTGCATTTTTAAAAGCTATCTGAGATTTTTAATTTTGTAACATTGGAAACAATTTTTGAAGAGTACCCATTTCCCTTGAAATTACAGATGGTTAGTGGCAGATACCATGAATTTTGTTGAAACTAAATGCTTTCTAGTAATCTACATGTTCCCACTAATTATTCCTAAGGATTTTCATTAGTGAATAAATCCACATTAGCAGTTCTATAAGCTCTAAAACTAATATTGTATAAGCAATAAAACTCAACCACAGATTTTAAAATAAAATTTAATTCTTAATTTTTCCATGCTTCTATAGTTCACTCTTCAAGTCTATATAACTAGGACAATCTAATAACAATGTCAAATAAATAACTGGCATTCTGAAGTATTATTCCCTGTTTCTCCAGGTAATATGAAATTTCTCTATGTAAACACACAATAAAGCACTGTCCAAAACAGTAGCCACTAGCCACATGTGACTATTGAGCATTCAAAATGTGACTACAACAACCAGATAAGTTACTATAAATATATAACACATTACAGATTTTGAAGATAGTACCAAACAGTATATCTTGTAAGTTTTTATATAGATTTCATGTTGAAATGGTACTATTTTAGATATGTGGAGTTAAGATAAATCACTAAAATTTCACCTATGTTTTCTTTTCATTTTATTTCATTTCTTGAGACAGAGTCTCACTACATTGCCCTGACTGGTCTCAAACTCATGGGCTCAACTGAGCCTCCCGAGTAGCTGAGATTACAGGTGTGCACCACTGCACCTGTCTTTGTTTTTACTTTTTAAAAAGTGGTTACTAAAAAAATTTACAATTGAATGTGTGACTCAATAATATTTTCGTTGGAAAGTGCTAACCTATATAATCATGAAAGAAAACAAAGCACAAAAATCTGGAGATAATGTTCTCGAAGGCTGGAGCATTTCTGAGGTAAGAGAACCTTTGAAAGCTGAAGTTGAACCCTGAAAGGATTTTAGCAATACATATCCCTAGGTCAACCCATCACAAATAGACTTTAGAATGATCAATGGACCGTACTATAGGATATATCAACTGTTTTCAAATGTGACTTTCGTTCTATATGAAGGGGGATACATTTATCCCCCAATGAATATAGCAATCCTATATAGGTACAGAGAATTTGAAATAGCCTCAAATAATCTGCAGTTTCTGAATAGGTAAATTTATTTCTTTTTATATCCAGTATAGCTGATTCTCAAAATCTACTCCTTTTCTAATACTCTGTAGTATTAGAAAAGGGTTCAAAAGGCAGTAGGGGGACTGGGGTTGTAGCTTAGTATTAGAGCACTTGCCTAGCACATGTGAGGCACTGGGTTCAATCCTCAGCACCACATAAAAGTACATAAATAAAATAAAGGTAAAAAACTGAAAGAAAAAAAAAAAGCAGTGGGTAAGAACATGACCTTAACTTTGCTAGTACTGGGTTCCATACTACTTCCACTTTGTAATTTAAAAAAGTACTATTATCCTGTCCCCTGTCATTTATACCAGAGAAGTTATTTACTAAATCTGATGAGTAAGAAAGAAGTTTCTTGCAGTTCATCTTTCAAATCCAGGCTTTGCCATATATTGGCTCATGGTCTTGGACAAATAATTCAACTTTTCTGAACCTCAGGTATGTCTTCTGTAGAAGAAGGGCAATATCTATGTTATAGGAAACATGTGAGGATTACAGTAATGTTTACAGGAGTCAATAAAAGACAGCTATTGTCATTTAAGAGTGTGAAAATCACTCATCCATCTGGTGATAATGCACTTGATAACCAAGATAAACTTGTGAAAATTTTTCTTTAGCTAAGTAGGCCACTCATTTGGATTTTCTCTGTTAATTTCCAGAAAAGAACTGAAGATTCCCTTGTGTCTAGGAGTACTCCTACTGCAGAACACATCTCTGTGTGTG